TAGTCTATCTCCTCTTGGGAGACCCCAGAAAGAAAATGTAGTTATGGCAAATAATAATAATAATAATAATAATAATAATAATAATAATAATAATAATAATAATTTAATTTCTCTTTTGCAGTGCTCAGCAAAGGAGCAGCCAAATGAGTAAGAAAAAAACAGCCGGGAATCAGGTAAGAACTCCTCAATCATTGAAAGTTGGAGAGGGGTGTTTCCCGTGTCGCGAATGGATGTCAGTGGCCTTCTCTGTGATTTAGCATGATTTATGGCGGATGCTTTAATTAATGTCCATTGTGGTTATCGGCTGATGTGTCGTCTACGTAGGTCGGTTTGGTTTCTGTCCATTGGCCATCCATCCGCTCCCATTTGCACCCCATTTTTCAGCCCCTAGATGGGTAGATTTTGGATTTTGGGTTTGTTGGCAGTGTTGTGAAGATGGAAGAAATTTGGATGGCCTTCTTTTCCAAAAAAAACCTACTCCGTAGTCTGGGGAAGGGAGAGAAAAATTGAGGAACTGAATGAAATTAGCAGGCATTGATCAGTTAAAATCAAGGCTGGGCTTCATCTCCTGCCCTACCAGCCCAGGTGATGCTTACCTATACAGGTAATCCTCCACTTACGACAGTTTGTTTAGTGACGGCGGCACTGGAGGAAGTGACTCAGGACCAGTTTTTCATGCTTACGACCTTTGCAGAGTCAGGTGATTGACATTCGGGCAACCGGGTTCATATTTACGACGGTCGCAGCGTCCCCGGGGGAGTCCCGCGATCCCCCTTTTGCAACCGTCTGACAAGCAAAGTCAGTGGGGGAAAGCAAACTCGTTTAACGACCGTGCTACTAATTTAACTGCAGTGATTCACTTAACAATGGTGGCAGGGAAGGTCGTAAAGCGGGCAAAACATACTGAGCAAATGTCTCACTTAGCAACAATGGGCTCCGTTGTGGTCGTAAGCTGAGGACTACCTGCATTTAGGTGGGCTGGGCTAAGTCTGGCTTTGGTTGAAATTATCCCGGCCATCTGACATCTGAAAGCCGCTTTTGGATCAGGGTCTGACTTGGTCTCCATCCTTTAAAATTATAAATTGTAAGTCACCTCTTAGCAGATGCTTCCTGAACCCTCTAGTAACTAGTTAGTAAGTCAAAACGAGTCGCTCAAACTTCGAGATTTCTTTTTATTTCTTGTCAACACGTCTTAGGAAAGATGTCCTTTTAAATCAGCTTTTTCCTTCCTTCTCCATCAGTGTTGGACCCCCCCAACTCCTAAACCGACTCAGTTGAGTTGGGAAACGCTGAAAACCCCCCCCCCCAAAGCTGAGCGGTCCACAATCTCAATTTAGGGGTTCTCCAAGACAGCCTATGCTTAATTTTTTTCCCCCTTTCTTCTTTTTTCTCCTTTTTACTTAAGCGGTTTTTCCTTTGCGGTGTGAGATTTTTTAGTGTTCCAGGCTATTTGGGCCTTTGTTTGAGCAAACATCTGCAGTCGTAAATATTTGGGGGTTGGGGGTGTGTGTTATTATCTTCCCTAAGTTAGTATCCTCCGAATGACTTGGGACCACAGTTCCCCTGGTCCTCCATGGGCGTGGAAGTCTGCAAATTGTGGCGTCTGCATTTGGGGGAATCAGACTGGGAAGGCCATAGGTATATGTGTGTATTTGTGTGTCTCTCTCTCTGTGTGTGTCTGTACACACACACACACAAATACTTTTGGTGTACACAGCTTCTTCTTCTTCCCCCAATTGCTTTTTTTGTTTTTTGAGTAATAATTTTTCCTTTCTTTGCTCCTGTTGTCTCTGCTGGTGCTGCTCTGTTTTTTCAGGATGAGATCCTGGTGAGTAAGAAGGGGGGGAAAATAAATAGCCACTCATTGTTTGTGGCATGTCTGAAAAATACTAATTTTAGGACCTCCGGGAGGGACGAGGGCTCTCCAGACCAAGCAGGGAGAAAGAAGTCAGATCTGACCCAGGTTTCTTGAAAAAGAGAAATAAGGAAGCGAAAATATTCTAATTGGACAAGGGTTTATCCATTTGGACACAGAGAGAGAGAGACGGCAGGCGGAGAAACGGGAAGGAAATTGTAGAAACAGTGTTTAGAATTCCAGATTTCATGCTGCAAATTCTCCCATCCACATTAGCTGGTACTTCGGGGATGTGGTTACTACAGCTCCCGTCATTTCCCATCTGGAAGATGCTCCTTGAAGGAGCAGGACATACAGACAAGTGTTTGTAAACACGTCTGAAACTCAACAGGCAGATTCCAAGCTGGGGAAAAGTGTTAAGGGCCCAACAGAGGGGGGGAAAAGGACAAGGGGCAACAGTTGACCAGAACTTAGGATGATAGACATGGAAAGTAGGGGAACACATTTCCAAAAACAATGTCATGTGTGTGCTGGCATCCCAACACAGTTGCGTCCTGATATGAACAGATGCAAAGATTTATATGTCGATGGGACCATCATTCAGCACCCAGTTCAGTAAATATGAACTTCTAGTAACTGGAGATGGAACTCTTCAGTAGAGTCCTTCAATCTGATGCTCTGGAGATGCAGTGGACAATTGTCACACTCTCCAGTGAGCGTGGTCCATAACTATCTTTTCTGGAGCTCCTAGTTGTCAAACAAAGATTTATATGTCAATGGGACCATCCTGCAGCACCCACTTCAGTAAATATGAACTTCTAGTAACTGGAGGTGGAACTCTTCAGTAGAGTCCTTCAACCTGATGCTCTGGAGATGCAGTGGACAATTGTCACACTCTCCAGTGAGCGTGGTCCATAACTATCTTTTCTGGAACGCCTAGCTCTTGAACTTTTGAAGGCCACCATCTTAGGAACATGGTGCCCTCTTGAATTTGACCCTGTTCCAGGGATGTGCGGAGGTGGTGGAAAGTAGTGATGCCAACTGGCCGTTCTTTAGAGAGGTGGAGAACATGACTTTCAAAGGTCCTAATCTGAGGTTCATGGTTTTAACATGTCAAGGCAAAGCGGTGAGGATGCTTGATGGGTTCACCCAGCACAAACATACAATAGAGATACTCCAGTTTCTCTTTGTTTCCCAACACTGTTCTTGCTTAGTCGTTAAGTGCTTATTAACCTCCTTTGTTTCTCATCTCTTCCTTTCCCTGCTTAATTAATAATCCTGACCCATGCAAATATGGCTGCATGCATTGTGTAATTTTGCAAAGAGATTCCCTTTTTTAGACTTAGGGGGTGGTGAAATGGCTGGGGGGGGGAGAAAGTTGTTATTTCCCCTAAAGCTTTTCCAGATTTTTTACCCCCCAAGACTTCACATCACTAATCTCAGATCCTTGGCTTGAGTTTATGCTCCGTGGAGCGGCTTCTCAGCCAATCCTGCCGCTTCTTGTGTGTGGTGTGGTGCAGTTGTGTTTGGGTAGTCTGGTCCCTTGATCAGCATTCATGACTCTGAGGTATTTTGGTGACCCAGGTGATCCGCAAGGGTTGGCTCACGATCAACAATATCGGCATCATGAAGGGCGGCTCAAAAGAATACTGGTTTGTCCTGACTGCGGAGAATCTCTCGTGGTATAAAGACGATGAGGTAAGGATGTGAGTTTATCTTCTCCATTTCTCCGCCCTAAATGAAAAGAATTTCTAAACCCGCTGAAATTAGTTCTTGGAATCCATAGTTGCCCATAGAACCTATCAGATCACACGACCGGGATATCTAATCTCCTAATCCTTTAGAGCAAGGATCTCCAGCCTTGGCAACTTTAAGGCTTGTGGACTTCAGCTTCCAGAATTCCTTAGCCAGCCAAGCTATTCTCCAAAGTCCCTGAAAGCAGGACAAGAAGCAATGGATGGAAACTCAACCTAGAATTAGGGAGAAATTTCCTGACAGTTAGAACAATTAACCAATGGAACAATCTGCCTCCAGAAGTTGTGAATGCTCCAACACTGGAAGCTTTTAAGAAGAGACTGGACAGCCATTTGTGTGTATGGTATAGGGTTTCCTGCCTAAACAGGGGGTTGGACTAGAAGACCTCCAAGGTCCCTTCCAACTGTTTTCTACCCTACTCTACTCTACTCTACCCTACTCTACCCTACTCTACTCTACTCTACTCTACTCTACTCTACTCTACTCTACTCTACTCTATTCATGGCAAATGGAAGTGACAACAATTTGAAGTCAACTCAAAGGATGGTAAAGGATTTGTGCTAGAAAGGAAATCTGAGAAAATCTTTTGAGAATGGAACAGTTAACTGGTCAAGTCAATAAATAAAGGTACTAACTGGAGGGTGACGTGGACAGTTTCAAGGTATTTAATGGATAGGTGTTCAGGTTATCCCAACATTTCTCAATCTTGGCCACTTCAAGACAGGTGGACTTAAAATTCTAGAATTTTCCAGCCAGCAGAATTCTGGGAGTTGAAGTTCAGAAATCTTAAAGTCTCCAGGGTTGAGAAAAACTGCAATCATGGGTAGATTTTATGGATTTTTTCCACTATGTTGATTTGGAAAATATTACTCCCAGCCTCTGAGTTATGTAGTTATAATTTGGAGCTGAATATTTTGCAAGTTGGACGCCAAAATCGTCTGGAAGACACCAGTGGGAAAAGGCCCCACCAAGTCCTGGAGTCTGTTTGCACATGATGGTTTGGTTTTGAGCTTAAGAGCTCTTTAACGTTCCAACGGGGTTTTCCGGTTTAAGATTTCCAGATGTTTCTCCTCTCGGAGACTTTTGAAGGCTATCCAAAATCTTGGAAGAGGATTCATCTGCAAGAGACAATTCCCAAGATAAAATAACTCCCTCCCAAACTTGAGGTGGTCACTCGGGGCTGCCATATTATTCTTCACTGTTCTCCACCCCACCTTGATTAAAGTTGCACATCTGTCATTGCCCGCAAAAATTTCCTGGCCCGGCACTTCTTCCCCACCACCTCCTCCTCCTCCTCCTCTTCTTCTTTCTCCTCTTCCTCCTCCTCTTCTCTTCCTCCTCCTCTTCTTCTCTTCTTTCTCCTTCTCTTCTTCCTCTTCTTTCTCCTCCTCTTCTCTTTGTCCTCTTCTTCTTCTCTTTCTCCTCCTCCTCCTCCTCCTCCTCTTTCTCCTCCTCCTCTTCTTCCTCCTTCTCCTTCTCTTCTCTTCTTCTTTTTTCCTTTCTCCTCTTCCTCTTCCTTCTCTCCTCCTCCTCTTCTTTTGCCCTCTTCTTCTCCTCCTCCTCCTTCTCTTCTTTCTTCTCCTCCTCCCCTTTTCTTTGTCCTCCTCTTCTTCTTGTGTTCCTCCTCCTCCTCCTCTTCTCCTCCTCCTCTTCTTTCTCTTTCTCTTCCTCTTGTCTTTGTCCTCTTCTTCTTTTTCTCCTCTTCCTCCTCCTCCTTCTCCTCCTCCTCCTCTTCTCTTCCTCCTTCTCCTCTTCTCTTCTCTTCTTCTCTTCCTCCTCCTTTCTCCTCTTCCTCCTCCTCTTCCTCCTCCTCCTCCTCCTCCTCTTCTCTTTGTCTTCTTCTTCTTCTCCTCCTCCTCCTCCTCCCCCATGCCAGCCCAAAAGCAAACATGCGTTTTAGATTTCAGATTGGCCTCCGCATCTGGATTCCAGAGGTGGCCCAAACTCCCCCCCTCCCATCCTTGACTGCAGTTGCTCAAAGGTGCCTGGAATGACTTCAGTTGAGTAGCATAAGCCGTTTTAACCAGTTCCAGCTGTGGGGATCGGGAGAAAGAAGGGAAGGGTGGGGGGGGGACTGGGGCTCCCTTTAATCCTGGGGGCGAGGGGAGCCTGCCGGGGGGAGCCAGCTGTACATGCTTCCCTTCGTTGGGTAGAGGCAGCCGAAAGAAAACGGCTACCTGCCAGTCGAAATGATAAATCGCAGCGCAGAGACCCCAGTGCCGGTAGAGCAGGAAGGACCCCGGAGAAAGGAACCTTTGTTTCCCACCACAAGGAAGGGGAAGTGGCGTGGTGCGTTTGTGTGTTTTCTCTTTCCTCCCCTCCTCTTCCACATTTCCAGTAAAAAAAAAACAACACCCCAACAACATACCCAGGCATCCACCCGTTTCATAAATCCCACTCCTCAAATACCGGCCTCCGCAGCAGAAATTTCTTTCTTTTCTTTTTTAAAGAAAAGCTAAAGAATTTCCGCTCCCCTCCAGATGGAAGACTTTTGCTTCTGTCCAGATTTTGGGAGCTTATGGCATTTGCAGAGATCTCTTTCATGCAATGCTTAGGCGTTTTGGGAGTTGGAGATCGGAGCTTGTGGGGGGGGGGGGAAACAACCCCGACAAATTCACACCCATGGAGGCGAAACCATATTTCCCACCCTGTAGTTGCGTGCTTTTGTGTTCGTGTCATGAGGTTAATTCCCAGTGAATTAAAAGCTATGACGCGGTTCTTCTTTTAGTTAAAGAATTGACAGAATTGAGAATCAGTATGGATTTTAAAAAGCAGGGGGTTGGGCTAGAAGACCTCCAAGGTCCCTTCCAACTCTGTTTTCTTTTCTACTCTACTCTACCCTACTCTACTCTACTCTACTCTACTCTACTCTTCTTCCCTATTCTATTCTATTCTATTCTATTCTATTCTATACTGCTCAAAAAATAAAGGGAACATTTTGCCATGGAACTGAAGGAGTTTGCGTTCCCTTTAGTTTTTTGAGCAGTATATATTCCGTATTCCATATTCCATATTCTATTCTATTCTATTCTATTCTATTCTATTCTATTCTATTCTATTCTATTCTATTCTATTCTATTCTATTCTATATTCCATATTCTATTCTATTCCATATTCTATTCTATTCTATTCTATTCTATTCTATTCTATTCTATTCTATTCTATTCTATTCTGGACCACGGTATCATGCTGCGGCGCCTGGTGGGGTTGGGAGTGGGAGGCACCGTTATGCGGTGGTTCTCCTCCTTCCTCACCGACCGCACGCAGTCTGTATTGGCAGGGGGACAGAGGTCGAGCCCAAGGCCCCTAACTTGTGGGGTGCCACAAGGGTCGGTCCTCTCCCCCCTATTGTTCAATATTTATGTGAAGCC